GGGATTTCGTTGTGCAGAACTAACTTGGACTTTATTTGGTTTTATTATTTTTTTTGTTCGGCAATTTAGAATGCGTTAAAGTAGTGTATTCATAGATATATAAACTTTAAATGATTAAAATGAAGTTTCAATCGTTGAAAATTTTGAGTCAGTTGAAGCTAAACTACCATGGAAAACCTGGAAACACTGGACGGCTGTTCCGTCCTAGTATGGGACTCCTCAGCAGTGCGCATCCACGATCCCGCACCCCGCGAGATTCGAAATCAGGACTTATCAGTCTCACGCACGAGCGCTTAACCACCAAACCACTGGACTGGCCGGCATCCAAAGGTGTTAATGTCTAACTCCAACCAATCCACGAAGTTGCGCCGCAAAACTCCTTCTGATAATAATTATATGTTCACTGACTTCAAGAAACATTTCCAGGAGTTCGTGGATTCGCGCTGCTGAGGAGTCCAGTACTAGGACCAAACGGTCGTCCAGTTCTCCCAGGTTTTCCACGGTGGTCTAGCTTCAGTTGACTATGCAGGACTGACTCATTAAATATGCGACAAAACGCTAGATAGTAGACTCTTATTAGACATAAATAAAGGATGGCCATCTTTACCTTATTCATTTTAATGATATCGTAACTCAGTGGATACGATATTCAAATTTATGTGATTACAATCGAATTATTAGGTTTTAGAGAATTTCTCTACTACAACTATTGTCGTATGTTTTATTATTATTCCAAAATTACTGTTCATTTATCACGGATTTACCATTCAGTTCTCTCTCACTTGTGGTGCGGTTGTGCCTATATTCTAACTTCTTAACCTTCTCGACATGTTGCCAGGATTTTGTTCTATATTACTGCATGATTGTTTCATATATTCGAACTGCATAATTAGGAGCTGTGCTCGCTGAGTTGTTTTACACTGGCTACCGAGCGAGTGAGTGAATGTGTAAAACTAAATTCTGGCCAATAATCATTTAGTGTTACCCTCGACTGTTATTCTCACATTTATCGTTTCATTAGTACCAGATAGACAGCCTAGGTGGACTTATCAATACTCGAACTAGATCAATACAACTGCTGTCTTGTCTGACGATCCAATTTTACGGGCTCCAAGCAAACTATACAAGAATATCTGTTTATTGTCACCGACAGATCAAGCTGACACTTTTTTCTATGTAACAGTTTATTTCAATTGAAATCAAATTTACATTTTATAGTAGAAAACTTCAACCTTATAAATTTGTATAATAGCCTGGTCTTAACCTCAAATTTATCAGTGAGTAATTGTATTACTCCCCACAAATCTCTGCAAGATATCAATCTAAACAATTATCTGTATCCAACTGTCTGAAAATCTTATTTCATCAATTACTGGGTTTCAGGATAACCGGAATTAAATCAAATGGTCTGGAACTTTATTTCTGATCATATCGTACCGTAAATCTTCTTCGGAAATCCAGAGAATCTGATCAGCACTAGAATAGAATTGACTCAGTAGCTAAATGGATAACGCTTTGGAATTTGAAATGGACGGTGCCGGGTTCACGTTCCAGGGTGAACATCAGCTCTGGAATAAAGATGCACCCACCTGATGAGTCCTAGATGGAATGAAGTGTGCATCATGGATTCCACTCCTAGCTAAATTTCATCTATTCTATCCTAGCTTGTGTCACAACGGCTATGTCTATACCACCCACACAGAATGCATAAATCCTAACCAAGACTGATCAAATTTCAGTCAAAATAGTTACAACGGGACAAACCTATCAATTTCAAGTTAGACTTGTGTAAGTACACTTAGATAAAGCTTTTTTTAAATACGAATTTTTCGTATTTTTAACACGAATTACAGGTGTTTAAAGCATCTATCGAGATTAAGAGTTACTATCGTAAGTGTTCTAATTATCTGACCAACAGAAATTGGCTTCACACAATTGTTTTATCATTTGACCTAAATATAAACAGTGAATAATATTTTTTTTTAAAAATGTACCAACTCTAGTTTCCTGAATTCCTCACATGATTGGATTCCAATAAACAATTTTTATTTGAAGATTTTGTCAGTCATTTATCCCAGTGGGAATTATTACTGATTTGTACAGTTTTTTCTTAGTGTTTTCACATTCCGAAATATGCATTTTTAGCTGTCATCCTTCATGAAAATCACTTGAGGTTGTCAATAAGAACAGTTCAACATCAAAATACTCATAAAGTATTTAGTATATTCTAAAGCCTACTGTCTTTATAAGGAAATAATTGTTTTTATGAAATAAAAACACTTAAACAAGAGAAAGTTGGTCCAAAGGCCACTCATTTGCATTGCATAGAAGTGAAAATAACCAACTATTTGCCGTTAAGAGCAGTAAATGATCATAATATGTGGGCGTATACATCCTTTACATTTTTTATTTATTTTTTGTTGATGGACATATAAGATCTCTAAATATTGGTAAAGGTCTTTGGAGTATCTAAAAGATTAGTATGCTTGTATCTTTATTGTTCTCATTGGTATCAAGTTAATCATTTTGTCTCTTGAACACTAGAATATTTTGTAAAACAGCAGAGGAAAGTTATCAAGTTCACAATCTTATCTCGATTGGACATTTGCAGCTCATATTAATTTGATTTTAATATACAAACAAGGCGTCAACATTTTCATCAAATTATATGTTAATTTTAGTGAATCTACATCTTCACTTAAAAACGGTGAAAATAACTTAAAATAGATATTTATATAATATTATGTAATAATGTGAAAACTCTTAGACTACTTATAAGTAGCTTAACTCCGAACGATCAATTATTCAAGCAGTTTAGAATGGAAGCGTCTTGTGATGATTTCTGTAGTATAGTACATACCTCATAACCATATTCTAACACGTGTGAGGATTTCACTCTCAAATATGGCATATTTAATGAGACCGTTTTTGTTTGCTAACATTGAATTACTACTCATAATCGTTATTATAACTGTCCTAACTTCTTGCTAATTTTTATTTGTAGATGATTTTGCTGTGTTTAATGATACCTATTTATCTGGTTAATACAAAACAGATGCCCACATTTCATGCATTTAACTATCTTAAATACTGAGCTAAAATTCAAAAATACATTCATCGGATCCAAAAAGCTATTGTTCACCTAGGCTTGGACTAAAATAGCTGAAGATTTAACGATAACTTGTTTCAGTATCACACTCGAAATTATTATAACGAATTCAAAAACAGAAATCGAGTCTCAGCCGACAGCTTCCTGAGAATGGCTCAATTAAATGGTGTCAAGTAATCGTTAAGGCAGGGATAGACACCAACTATTGATAGTCTTCATCTACGCTTGAATCAATTGTAATTTAGAGGATAGGGAGGACTTCCAATCTCCTCCAAACACTGAAATATGTTTGCTGTAGGATGCTGGTAGGTTACACTAAACAAGAGTAAGTTCAATTGGTGTTTTAGGAGTTCCAAAAAAGAGTATACATAGTTTTTGGTGACTATCTAGACTAAGCCCTACCTACTTACGCCTGTTACCCCTCATGTAGGAGCATGGGTCGCCCACTAGCATTCGCCAACTCTATTCTGGGCAATCTTTTCCAGTTACTGTTCATCATTTTCATGCCTGCCTCCAATTCTTAGTAAAGTGTGTCTTTTGGTCTTCCTTTTTTCCGTTGCCCTTCAGGATTCTAAGTTAGTGCTTGCTTCATAATGCAGTTTGATGATTTCCGAAATGTATGTCCTATCCACTTCCATAGTCTTTTCTTAAATTCCTCTTCAGATGAAAGTTCGTTTGTTCACTCCCACAGTAGTTTGTTGCCGATGATATTCAGTCAACGGGTATTGAGTATCTTGTGTAGACAATTGTTTATGAATGCTTACTTACGCCTGATACTGCTCGTCGAAGAGCATAGGCCGCCCATAAGCACTCTCCATCCAACCGTGTTCTGGGAAATCCTTTCCAGCTCCTTCCAGTTGTAATTCATCCTTTTCATATCTGCTTCTACTATCCGACGTAATGTGTTCTTTGGCCTTCCCCTTTTCCGCTTCCCTTCAGGATTCCAAGTTAGCGTTCGCCTCATAATGCAGTTCGATGATTTGCGTAATGTATGTCCTAGCCATTTCCAGAGTCTTTTCATAATTTCCTCTTCAGCTGGAAGATGGTTTGTTCTCTCCCACAGTAGGCTATTGCTGATAGTATCCGGCCAATAGATGTTGAGTATCTTGCGTAGACAACTATTTATAAATACTTCTACCTTCTTGATGGTGGTCGTTGTAGTTCTCCAAGCTTCAGCTTCGCACAGTAGAACTTCCTTGACGTTGGTACTGAAGATTCTGACTTCGATATTGGTTGAGTTGTTTTGAGTTCCATATGTTCTCCAGTTGTAAGGCTGTGGCCCTTGCTTTGCCAATCCTTGCCTTCACGTCTGTATCTGACCCTCCTTGTTCATTGATGATATTGTTCAGGTACGAAAAAGCTTCCCCCTCTTCCAAACTCAGCCCTAGTAGACGGTTATTTTTTACCTTCACGAACAGTCTTAGTTAACGATATCAGAGAAATTGAAAGGCTAGTAAGTGCTTTACGTTACCTAACGGACCAAAGAAGAAATTCGATAAACTTTATTTGAAAGCTCTTGATAGCGATCCTCACTGGCTTTTATCTACGAACTGCAATTCAAATTGTTTAAATTGGAAACTCTTGACCTACCAACAAGTTGAAATAAAACGTACTAACAAATGACCGGAATGTTATAATGTGGAGAGTTGAATTCAATACGCTTACACAAGTTGTTATGAACTGTACAACAGACAGTCCATCCAATATGAATACATCTCACTTTTTCTACTTGAATAAGTCACTGACAATATTCGTTTCACAGCGGTTCAAAATATGTAAACATTCTATTTAGGTATATCTTACGAATGGAAAAGTTTGTAACTCGTTTTCACTCAACGATTTTCTAAATCTATACAGATTAAGTTACACATACTAGATAAGAAAAGAAAAATGGACAAACGAAAAATTTACCATCTATTTTTCTTCATCAAGAGATTTACAAAAGATCATTGATTGTTTGAGATATATTATAAAATGTTACTAGTAAATAAAACATATACACAGAAAATCAATACAAAGTATATAACTTAACAAACTCCATTTCGATCATCATTATTATTACTATTATTAACAATACTGTCATTTTCAATAACAATGGTTGAATCTTCATCAATCTCAGGTTTAACAGAAATCGGTTCTGAAATAACAGTGTCGTCAATAGTATTATCCAATGAATTGGACTTTTGTTCAGATGACATGATAATGTCATTGCTTTTATCAAGTGAAGCTTCTTGACTGTTATTGTTTTCTGTATCCACATGAGATGTTTTTTGAGAGCACATGCCATCTGTAAATAATACCGAAAATGTAATTTGTTTATCATTATTTCAATAAAAGTACGATGATAATATATGTTAAACTAATAAAAAAATATTCCATAACTTCGTGACTCTACAGTCGCGAAGTGAAACCACTCTTAAGTCTGAGGTCACAACTTATTTAAGTTACAAAATAACCATATAGTATAACGAGGGGGGTAAGTAATTTTCTAGGGTAAAATAAAAATCTTGACACAACTGATCACTTTCGAAAAGGTTGGTTAGTAAAACGTAATGCATTTGAGTGACACATTTCCGACAATTTGATCAAACATACTTGCAGAAGCATTTTTGTTTGAAAACTAAGGTAAGTCAAATAAATATTGTTGTGACTTTTACCCGGTTAAATATCACGTGACTTGCTCGCGAATCAGAATATGACTTATACAATCTTAACATTAAGCCAAACTAATAACGTGTCGACTGGTGTGAACAGCCTAGCGTCCTTATTGGTCCTTTTCCATGCCTAGCTCTGCCAGTCGAGACCAGAACACCAATACCAGCTCCTATTATATGAATCATTTATTCCAAACATACCTGGTTTATATACAAACCAAATAGACCACATCGCACCACAAAATAGATCAAGTCGAAAAGTGGTTGCGATTGTGGGAGAATAATTATTAAACTGGGCATAACTTCAGAACAGTAAATCGTATAATAATAGCCTATAAAATAAGCCTATAATAAGAGGAATATGAACACACATAATCTAGTTACTCAATAGTTGTACAATAAGAATATATGTATAATATTGGTCCATAAACAGATCTCAGAAGTTATCTACAATTTAATCCTCACTAGGATATAACAACTATAAAGAGGTAAGTGAGAATGTAGGAGAGATAGAAAGCATAAAAACGTTGTTACGTCAGCTCTGGTGTTAAAATAGATTAAAACTTCTGAACTTTCTTCAGTACATATTTATAGACAATATTTCCTTACTCGTATTAGAATTGATAATATTGTCGAATTAGGATCATTGTACTTGAATACGATATTTACTTATAACAACAAATTCTAGAAAACTACGTCTCATAATTCGAATTTTTTCGTTCCTTCAGATACCATAGTATAGCTAACTTATTAACAGCTGCATGCTTGTTAAACAGGTTCATTATATACCATATGTTCGGAGGTATTGTGTTCTCTGACGTGGTTAGTTTAATCCAGTCCAAGGAATACAGTACGTCCATTATCGTTTTGAGCTACGAAAAATTCTCCATCAGCCTTGATGATGTGCGCTTCTCCAATGCCTTTAGCTGAATACGGGGAACCAGACAAATTTTTCAGGAGAGAAAGCTCTATATTGAGCCAATCAAAAATCGGTCAGATTATAAGTGCACGCGATTGGCCGAGAAACTGGATACATTTCCTGGGAATGAGACATGACATTGGAGTATACACACATGCCAGTTTGACTTGTCAATAAATTTCCTTTTCCACTCTCAGTATTCTCAATCGAGTAGTCGGTCGGGCTGATGTATAGGAAGATTGGGCATCAAAATCAAATTTGGGGTATCGTACTTCATAACACTTTATTTTAGTTAGTAAAATGTCTTCAGAAATAAAACTTGAAGCACTCGGTAATAACGTTTGATGACGGCAGAATTAACCAAAGCATGAATCTGAGGGTTGAAACAGCATCGGTTGATAGTATCGCTGGGCTGTTAGAGCAAATAACTCTACAACATAGCACTGAACTTTTATAGGTAAAATAAAAATATGGTACCAACTAATTGATCATAAGTGCAAGAACGATTAAAAAATGGATTTATCCTTGGATAATAATTATATATATAATTACCTTTTTTAACACGTACAGATTCGTGTACCATACTTTATATGTGATAGCCACTGATACACACAAGTTTCTTAACCATTAAGCCATTACTTGACAATTTATATAATAACATACAAAATATAAATCAACAACAAGAAGTACAGTGAAAACATCAACAAAAGAGAAAAATAGACTTTATGTGCGGCTCTCATGTTAAATCCGAACAGAACTAAGGAAAGACTAAGAAACATAACATTGGTTACTACTTAGTGACTAACTAATGTTAACGCATTAGATCTACAGATCATTGTTAGTTCATATGGCAATATCTATGACTGTAGCAAGGATTTTAGAGGATTAAAGTTCTAGAGAAACACTGGTTTTCTTCGAAATCGTAAATACGACTCGCTGATAGGTCCCAAGCCGGTAGTCTTCTGTTGATCGTCTCTAACCATTTAAAACTTAAACACACTGTCAAAACCATAATTCACAATAGTAGTAATAATATGATTATTCGATAACGGTCTTTACCTGTAACCGACAGAATTGTATCTTGTGGTGTTTTGGTTGGACCTTGGTCTTCATTTTTCAGATTCGTAGGTTTATCTGAATTCGTATCCACTAAACCGTTAGAATTATCTTGTTCAGGTTGTTGACATGAATACGATGAAAGAATACCAGAAGAAATATGTGATGTATTATTTATACTTGACTGACGATTGAATGTTCCTTTTTTGCTGTGACCCATATCAATTATAAGAGAAGGTACCCATTTATAAATAAGCATTGAAGTGTCCTTGACAGCGACCCATTTCTTTTCCCTAAAGCAAGGTTGGTCAAAAATGAATATCTAGATATATCGTCAACTAAAGGGACTACTGTAAAGGTATTAATCATTAGAAAATGACATTAATTTAATACCCGTTTAATGAGCGATCCTTAAAACATGTAGTCTGTATATGGTGAAATCAGTTATATAGAAGTGGACAGTAAATAGGTGAGTCAATTAGTGAGCTTGCTATATGATAGTATTTGAGATAGTTGAGATGCTCTTCATACATTTCAAGCTAACTACACAAATTAAACCACGTAAAAATTTTCGAAGGGACTGAAACATACTACTAGGGTTTTGTTACAGCGGAAATTGAAATTAGAAAGACAATGAGCGGAATGGAAAATATCTTACCAGCTTCGAACCTGTTCATGTGATTTGTGAACTCTTTTTAGGTCTTCTTTGGCTCTGCTGCGTGTTTCAGAACGTAAACTTCTAGAAAACATGGAGACAATTGACTAGTAATTTTATTTGGTCAATGAAAAATTAGAAGTATAATCGTATAAGCGTTTTCTGATAGGCAGGATTTTTGGCACTATAAATTGGACCACGAACGAAGAGTGGCTGTAAAGGGAAAAAACGACACTTATTAACACGATATCGTTCCGTTAGTTTTACACAAGTACGATAGTGTGGAAAAGCAATCGGTAAAGCATTGGTTGAAACATCTCCCTCAAAGGAGACTTGAAAAAACACTTGAACTACCTGACTTTCAGGAAACATAAGCAAAAACTAATCCAAAAAACTCGTAGTCAGAAAAGCGTATAAGGCTTGAACAAGAAAACACCAAATTTCGATAAGAATACTGAAAACAATTAGGTCAACAGTAAATGAGTCTGAACCTTCATATTTAGAATCAATAACATATAATTCCCCCTACTCCAATCATTTTGGTCAGTCCACAAAAATCAGTACACTGATACATTATCGCCTAACTTTGGAAGTAGTGTCTACTTATATATATAGCCGTTAAGTCTACTAAATGTAAATGAGGCTCGGTCGCACGAATACAGCAGCAAAAAAGACGAGTAATATTACTTACGATTACGTGAAATTCCGGCTCGTAAACATTTGGTTTAGTAGGTTTTTTATAACTTTTCGCGCTTGTAAACACACCCCAGTAGACTATAAAATAATGTAGGTTTGTTTTGCGGAAAATTCGACAACGCCTTAGCAAGGACTGAATGTATGGATATAAGGATACAATCTATATTTGTCGAAGATAAGATTATTTAACTTATTCTTGATGTTAGTAAGATTGTCTGTGAGATCTGTTTAACGCTTATTAGCAATCTTTTAGGGCACCTAGAACGCTAGGGTTATAAATGACTTGGAGGGATGGAAAGTAGCAGACATCAGTGAGTTGACTACAAAAATGGTCTATGATTATTTGACAAACTGAGATGCGAATAAGATTTTGGGAGACAGATGTGATTTCAAATGACTTGCCTTTATTAGTAATTGTCTCATTTTATAGAAAACGCATGTAATTAATGTAGGAGTGTGAACTTGACTTTTGAGATCTTAGATATTACAATTATGCAACGCCTAAATGGGACTCAGTAACAACGAAATAAGGAAACATAAACAGGAATCATGTCTTGTTGATTGTGCATTGGCTAAATCTCTATATTAATGGTGAGCAATCATTTGAAATTTCTACTTAAATGGTGTTATTTAGTGTAATTCAATTTTATACTAACAAAAGTTTGCCATACATGTATTTCTAGAAAAAGCATATTATTTATGACGACTAATCTTCGACCCAGAATTATCTCGTCAAATTAAAGTATACAAACGGCATAGTCCTATTATCTGATGCTGAGTGGATGCAGTTTTCCAAACAACTTAAATGGTGTCGACACTCATGGTACAAGTATTTCAGTGATTGAATACACAGCTTAGTCTTGTGATTTGTCTAGATCGATACCTAGCAGCTGGGAAACACAGTACGCTAACCGCTTTGCCTAAATTTACGATATGCACACACATCCTTTACTTTCATTTAAGTCATAAATGTCATATTTTTCTAAAATTCCACTGCTTGTTTTATTCTCAATTTCTTTAGTGCACTACTACTGATTACGTCAATAATCTTATACCACTATGCTAATTGGAAATATAATAACTGGAACTGATATATAGCTTACAAAACTTTTGTCAGACTGAAGTCGTGTTATTCTAAGCAATGCAATCGACATAATTTCGATTAATGCCAATGTCCAGCCTTTTGAAATAATACCAGGTACCAACATCAAAAAATAGCAACCTTAACAAATAACCTGGGGATAACAACTGATTAGCCACTGCTCATAACCATACTACTTTCCATCAATGCATAAGTTCCTATTTTACTGCTTGAGTTATCTTGGAGAGGTCGCCATTAATGGAGTAGTATGACTGGAGGAGTGGAAGTCGAAAAATGTTTTAATCCATCTTTATATCTCTAATATTATTTAGTCCTAGCACATAAAACGTCAGTCACTATGAAAATATTGACTAAGGACATGTTCGACTCCTGTATGACATGAAACTATGCACGAATCCTACATTAACTGTTCTAACTCTGTAGCGCAGATTATTGAAAATTATTAAAATAGAAGACCGCATTATTACTACAGTGAGTTCAGAGTCGAATTGATATTAAATTTAGTGGTAAGCTACAAGGAAAAAAATGGGACAAAACACGACCAAACACAGACATTTAAAGTCTGTAGAGTTCGATGGGATTTCGGGGGTTCATTAGTAAACACGAGTGAATTTAATGAATGGACACGCTCCAAATAACTGACGAATCTCTAGCCAGTCTACTACAAAACAAACTCCGTAAATGAATGGTTTGTGGAAAGAACAATACCTTCTACATGTTCGTCTGTTCGAAAGTGAGAGAAACAACGACATAAATTCGCCTTCAACATGTGTTGTCTTCGCGAACCCTTATGAGGGTCAAAATACACTTTTAAGAATCCACACATTCCGTTTTCATCACAAACTGATGTCAGCAATAACGCAAAATAGTGGATTTTATGAGAAAATGTAATGGACGTTTTCTGATTAGTTCTACGAAATCCAATGCCACTTAAGATTTAAATCTGTTCTACGACTAGATGCTAATGTTTATTATTTAAAAACTTTGTTGATTTGCCTGTTATATACAACCTACAGAAACTGAAATAAACGGCGTATAGGTCCAACATCATTTCACTGTTGAGTTCTTCATCGTTTCAAAAGTTCTAAACAGTATAAAACGCCGTTTCTACTTCTATTCATCTCCGATATTGCAATTAGGAACAGAAATTTAGGACTTATAACCAACGATGAACCATGTTCTTGATTCTCATTCATTAGTCCGCATACAACACTTCGACCTTTACACATACGACCTACACTTACGTAGCGCAAAGTTCACTTTTACGCCTTGACATTTACCAACTGTGAACTTTTCAGGTGGAATTGTTCAAATCCCATTGCTTTTGAAACAGAAATCGTTAACTGAATGCTTCAAAATAGCACTTAGCTACGTTGAATAATTCCAAAACACCAGAAGTTATAAGCTTCTCGTAAGGATGTAGTATACAACATGTAACAAGTAAATCAGAAATGATACTATATTCTTATGAAATACCATCCTGAGTTCACAAGAATGTATCAAATTTCCTTATGAATGACCCCTAGAAATTCATTTGGATGTTCAGCTGTCAGCGGATTGCAGGACTGGGTTACGTGTACAGGGTATACGTGCCTGCAAGCCATTTTGTTGTATTGTGCTTTTAGTTTCAGTGTACTGCTACCAAAGTCTGTGTTAGTAGTTAGGTTCCGTGAGTGCTTTTTTAGGATGCCGAAGAGTTTTTAGGACTTTATAGTTATTAAAAAGCCACTCCCGAGTCGCCTATACTTTAATGTGTATACATTTGTGAGTGATCTAAGACGCTCTTCGTAAGGTTTTGACTTGAGCTCTCGAACTTATTTGGTGATTCACATTTACGGCCAGTGAAGTGAAGAAATACAACGAGAGATATGGTAATAATTCAAAATGTCAGTTGAAAGTACGTTTAACGCCGTTAAAAATATCCCCAAAACAAATAGCTCTGTAAGTCTTCGACATTGGATGCTGACCACATTAGTTTCAATGGACTCACCAGCTGAAGGCGCTCGGTCATGCATCCACACCAGATCACGAGTGGAAACGCCGTGTCCAACAACCCCTGCAGTCGCTAGCCATATTAGATCAGACGATCTCGATATATTGATTACTTACTTACTTACGCCTGTTACTCCTCGTGAAGGAACATAGGCCGCTCACCAGCATTCTCCCTTCAACCTTGTCCTGGGAAATCCTTTCCAGCTCCTTCCAGTTGTTATTCATCCTTTTCATATCTGCTTCTACTATCCGACGTAATGTGTTCTTTGGCCTTCCCCTTTTCCGCTTCCCTTCAGGATTCCAAGTTAGCGTTCGCCTCATAATGCAGTTCGATGATTTGCGTAATGTATGTCCTAGCCATTTCCAGAGTCTTTTCATAATTTCCTCTTCAGCTGGAAGTTGGTTTGTTCTCTCCCACAGTAGGCTATTGCTGATAGTATCCGGCCAATAGATGTTGAGTATCTTGCGTAGACAACTATTTATAAATACTTCTACCTTCTTGATGGTGGTCGTTGTAGTTCTCCAAGCTTCAGCTTCGCACAGTAGAACTTCCTTGACGTTGGTACTGAAGATTCTGACTTCGATATTGGTTGAAAGTTGTTTTGAGTTCCATATGTTCTTCAATTGTAGGAATGCGACCCTTGCTTTGCCGATCCTCGCCTTTACGTCTGCATCTGATCCTCCTTGTTCATCGATGATGCTTCCCAGGTATATGAAGGACTCTACATCTTCCAGAGTTTCGCCATCAAGAGTGATTGGATTGCTGTTTTCCGCTTTGAATTTGAGGACCTTGGTTTTCCCTTTGTGTATGCTGAGGCCTACTGATGCAGAGACTGCTGCTACACTGGCTGTCTTCATCTGCATCTGTTCGTGTGTATGCGATAGGAGGGCTAGGTGATCTGCGAAGTCCAAATCGTCTAATTGATTCGTAGCCGTCCACTGTATGCTAATTTTTCCACCAGATGTTGAGGTCTTCATAATCCAGTCGACAACCTGAAGAAAGAGGAAGGGAGAGAGTAAACAGCCTTGTCTGACTCCAGTCCTTACTTGGAATGCATCTGTCAGCTGTCCTCCATGAATGACCTTGCACTGTAGTCCGTCGTATGAGTTCCGGATAATATTGACAATCTTCTGAGGAACTCCGTAGTGTCGAAGAAGTTTCCATAACGTCCTCCTATCTACACTGTCAAATGCCTTTTCATAATCAATGAAGTTGATGTATAGTACGAGTTCCACTCAACTGATTGTTCGACGATGATCCGTAGTGTTGCAATTTGGTTTGTGCACGACCGATCCTTACGGAATCCAGCTTGTTGATCTCGAAGTTGGGCGTCTACTGCATCTTTCATCCGGTTCAGCAACACTCTGTTAAAGACCTTCCCTGGTATCGACAGTAGTGTAATGCCTCTGTAGTTTTCACATTTGCTCAAATCTCCTTTCTTTGGAATCTTGACGGGGTGTCCTTCTTTCCAGTCCATTGGCACTTGTTCCTCCTCCCAAATCTTTTTGAATAGAAGGTATAGCATGCTAGTGGTCACTTCGACGTCTGATTTCAGTGCTTCTGCTGGTATGTTGTCGGGCCCCGCTGCTTTCCCGCTCTCGATTTTTCTGATGGCCCTTCTAATTTCTTCCGTCGTTGGTGGATTGACATTTATAGGAAGATCTGTGTGTGCTGCTTCGATGTTCGGTGGATTCATTGGAGCCAGCCTATTCAGGAGTTCCTCGAAGTAATCTACCCATCTGTTTCGCTGTTGTTGAATTTCAGTGATTGGCTTGCCTTCCTTGTCTTTGACCGGCCTCTCTGGTTTACTGTATCTCCCTGCTAGTTTCTTCGTTGTATCGTGAAGCTGTTTCATATTTCCTTCTCTAGCAGCTTTTTCTGCCGTCGTTGCTAGTTCTTCCACGTATTTCTTCTTGTCGGCTCTAATGCTCTTCTTCACTTGCTTGTTTGCTTCTATGTATTCAGCTTGTGCTTGAACTTTCTCTGCTCGTGTTCGGCTGTTGTTAATTGCTGCCTTCCTGTTCTTCCTTTCTTTGATCTTGTCCAGTGTTTCTGTAGAGATCCATTCCTTATGATGTTGCTTCTTTAGACCCAGAACCTCTTGACACGTTGAAGTTAGTGCTTCTTTGATACCTTTCCAGTTGTCCTCCATAGTAGTTTCTTCTTCCTTCAGTAGATCCTGTAAGGCTTGGAAACTGTTGTTGAGAGCTATCTTGAATTCATTGAGTCTGTCAGTATCTCGAATGAAGGCTGTGTTGAACCTTTGTATTGCTGTTTGTCCAGTTGTCCAGTTCTTTTTTAGCTTCAGTTTTAAATTGGCTACAACTAGGTGGTGAACTGAAGCTATCGATATATTGATAGCCTATCAAATATATCTTCGAACCTCCTCGCTCCTATCTTTTGATTTCACTTGATGAGCACGATTCATATTAGTTGTTACTGGTTTAAGCGTTATTAAACTCCAAATACCTGTGCATCTTCATTAGTGAGCCTAACGTGGTCTGGTACACCAAATCGCAAACTGTGAGTCTGTTCCTTTTTAGAATTCTGTATATTATTGCCTTATAATAACTCTTTATGTATGGTGATATTTTTTCCGTGTTTTTGAATATATATATTTTTCACTCGTTTATTATCGTACTTGGTATTTCACCATGACTGAACAGACACCCAAGGTATTTAAGTTAAAGACTGTCCCCACCTTTGTTTCAGCTGACGTCCTTCTGTCTAGACAACATCGAAGGCCGGTTCTTTTACGCAGAAGCCGACTTCTACGAGCACGGCGTGAACGACGCACGTGTACAATTCCTCGCAGTAGTCAAGGCACTACCACGAAAATTCAACAGGTACGTAACGCCTAGTATGTTTACTGGTGATGTTTCTGAACCCTGCGAAACAATTAAACAACCTAAACGATCGACAAAGGTTAGGCAAACTCCTTACTAACATCCACCTGCAACACGATTTTACGACAGACACGTTGCAAAGAATGAGAGAGGTTATCGTCCAAAGACCCTTCGATGATGGCCTATTCTAAATACTTTTCTTATCCAAACTTCCTCAACAGATGCAAGCTGTTCTGGTCTCGTTTCAAAACAATGTCGTGGACGAGCTGGCTGCATCTGACGACCACATCCTTGAAACCACGAAAACTTCTAACGCCCAGGTTTTTTGAGTCAAGGAAAAACTTCAAACGACCTATAATGACATTACGGGATTATGTGATTCGCTGGCACGTAATCTGAGATTTCTCAATGACCGTAAACGGTCACACACCCCTCGAAGAAGCACTGTAGTGGCATTGGACCATAACCACACAATCTTCAAAGCTGAACACGAGACAACTCGGATAATATGTATTCAATATTTAATGCGGAGAAATACCAAACGATGGAGAAGGCGGGAAGAATGAGTTGAATGAATTGGGGTTGATCGAATGGCATGACTCAGCCATGCAGGCGTGGTCCCTGTTATCTTATATCTTTTAACCATAATAAATATATTGTCCTATCTCTAGCCTGAGCTTGTTCTACATCATGTATTGGTAATTGTTATGATGCAATGAGTTGGTATGGACGATGATGTAACTTTCACGTAATATCATATAGATTAGGCAGTTATATCATGACAAATCTACAATTCTAGGATTAGGTCTATTATTAGAGCAGTACTAATATCAAAGTGGATCATAATTGTACAGCACTTCACGTAGGCGATCTGTCTCTAGGCCACGAGAGACGGATAATCCCGACTGGCACTCATATCATAACCGATATAGAAAGTCTTCCAGAAATTGCAGAAAACCCTTTGGTTTGTAACAGCTTAGGTTGGTTGGTTAAGAGTTGACCCCAAACAACCAAGCATATGCCAAAACAGTATTGTTCAAGTATTCATTCACTTCCTTATTTTGTATAAGCGTTATATTCCCTATTATCTTATATTGAATGTTGAGAGCCTTTGTTTGTCTGAACAGATAATCCCACGCTCCACTGTGACTGCGCGAAGATCGAAATAAAGACCTATTCACTACTTGTCTGGTTTCTTCTATCAATAGCACGAGGGTTACTTAAGGCACGAAATGGTGAGCCCTTTTTGAACACAAATTTAACCTCATTTCTGTTATTAACATTTTTTTACTTAATCGTAAAAGTAGACCTGATTATCCGTAAACTAATTTGAGTATATAACTAGTTTATTCCGTATTATCTTAAGTTATTCGTGTTATAGTAACCATTTTTCGTGCTAACTTTATTGCTATATTTGTCACATACCTCATGTCAGACTCAATAGAAACCCATAATCTGGAGGATTTGTCAC